CATTCTATGAAGCCAACATCACCCTAATACCAAAGCCAGGAAAAGACCCCACCAAAAGAGAAAATTACAGACCAATATCCCTGATGAACATACATGCAAAAATACTCAACAAAATATTAGCAAACTGAGTTAAAAAATACATCAAGAGGATCATACACCATGACCAAGTGGGATTCATCCCAGGGATGCAATGATGGTACAACATTCGAAAATCCATTAACATCACCACATAAACAAAAAGAAGGACAAAAATCACATGATCATCTCCATAGATGCTGAAAAAGCATTTGATAAAATTCAACATCCATTCATGATAAAAACTCTCAACAAAATGGGCATAGAGGGCAAGTACCTCAACATAATAAAGGCCATATATGACAGACCCACAGTTAACATCATACTGAACAGTGAGAGGCTGAAAGCTTTTCCTCTGAGATCAGGAACAAGACAGGGATGCCCACTCTCCCCATTGCCATTCAACATAGTACTGGAGGTTCTAGCCACGGCAATTAGACAAAACAAAGAAATACAAGGAATCCAGATTGGTAAAGAAGAAGTTAAACTGTCACTATTTGCAGATGACATAATATTGTACATAAAAAACCCTAAAGACTCCACTCCAAAACTACTGGAATTGATATGAGAATACAGCAAAGTTGCAGGATACAAAATTAACACACAGAAATCTGTGGCTTTCCTATACACTAACAATGAACCAATAGAAAGAGAAATCAGGAAAACAATTCCATTCACAATTGCATCAAAAAGAATAAAATACTTAGGAATAAACCTTACCAAGGAAGTGAAAGACCTATACACTGAAAACTATAAGACACTCTTAAGAGAAATTAAACAGGACACTACTGAATGGAAACTCATCCCATGCTCTTGGCTAGGAAGAATTAATATTGTCAAAATGGCCATCCTGCCCAAAGCAATCTACAGATTCAATACAATCCCTATCAAATTACCAACAGCATTCTTCAACGAAGTGGAACAAATAGTTCAAAAATTCATATGGAACCACCTAAGACCCCAAATAGCCAAAGCAATCCTGAGAAGGAAGAATAAAACAGGGGGGATCTTGCTCCCAAACTTCAAGCTCTACTACAAAGCCACAGTAATCAAGACAATTTGGTACTGGCACAAGAACAGAGCCACAGACCAGTGGAACAGA